AATAAAAGGAATATTTACATAACACTTGTAAATTCTACGTAATTTCTAACGTGTCAATTGCAAAAGTTATGTTTGCATACCTTTACTGTTACCTGTCACTATTGTTGCTAAGAAAGAGGTGGCAATTTCATGATGCAAACCAAGACCGTTTCAATTTTTATACAGCCAGAGCATAGGAAATAAATTGTCTGTTAATCGTGCAAAGATAAAAAATGTGATGTATAATATACGCTGAGTCTCGGGAGGATATATTAAACCCGAATTCGTTTTATGACTGGATACACAAACTATTTTGGCTGTTTTTTTCCCCCTTGCTACCCAATACCGCGCGTACGTGTCAGCGTGGTAACATTATTACTGAAGATAACTTGAACACAATACTAAGAAACAAATTGTATATCCCTACAATAAAGACCTAAGCCTTTACCTGTATATAGTACATGTTCTTTCAACAGCTCTTTTTCTGCACTAATTTATATTTAATTTTTTGTAAATGATGAATGAAATAAGTAATGCGATTGATACAATGCATATAGCTGTTAAAAACTAATAACCTACATTGTTAATTAAATAGTTAATGAGTTGAATAAGCTCGATGATAATTTACGGAATAGCTGTACACTTATCTTTAGTTGTTTTAAAGTTTGCATTGATAGAGCATATTTAATCTTTCATTTGGTCAAAACTGACAAATTGTACATCAAACACTGAAATTTTCTTTATATAAAATGTATAATAGTTGAAATCGATGTCGATTGACTATATTGGTCAATTACAAGTTATTTTAAAATTATATCTAATTTTATCATTTTTTTGCCGGTAAATAAGAAATTCCTATGTCACATTAATTAATAACGGTTTCTTCTTGGTATTCTGATTTTTGTGAATACACATAGATATGTATATCAAAAAATATATTCGTGAAGTAACATTTTAATTAAAGCAGTGAATTGTCGAAATTAACTATTCAATAATATAATTATTTAAATTAACAATTATTATACTTAAGCTGTTTATCATTTTCGTCTGTCACTTCCTCTAATTATTCACGTATAAATGCATCATTTGATTCGATTTTCTATTTAAATTTACTTCCCTTTAAATTTGTAATTGAAATTTTGTTTACTTAGAATTCAATGTTATCACATCGCATACAAAATTTTATGAACAATTTATATTTATAAAATATTGAAAATGTAGAATAAACGAATTGTGTCTCTATATTGCATTTGTATTACACTTTACATTACATTTGTTACTGAAAAAAACGTATACGATATTGCAAACATTGTGTTTACTCTTTAATCTTAAACTGTATTAAAATTATCGCCATTTTTCCTTAGAAACTATAATACGATGTCAAGAAATGGTCAAATAGTTTTTTCACGAAGAATCAACTAGATGCAGCCAACGTATATAATAAAAGGTATAAGTATATTAATAATATAAACAGTACTTATTTCATTGTTTACATTTATTTACATGGCATTTAACAAATCGGTTTATGTTATTAAGATGTAATAACAATAGAAGTTAAACATCTAATTATTTTTCGGAAATTAATAAATAAAAAAAATCTGGTATGTAGAAAAATAGCTGCAATATTTCTACAATTTTAATAATCACAAGTAGAAATGTGGAAACTTTAAAATCTTAATTACATGTTTAATATTACATTTATTATATTTGCGATAGGGTAAGAAATTTTTGATAATTATTGGAATTATGGAAATATTAATTACAAATTTCTGTTGCAAAATGTTTGATACATAAATAATTTAAAAAAAGTCAAGAAAAAAATATATTGAACTTTGATACATAAATCATAAAATGAGAATTTACATTTGATTGTGAATTACAATTTGAAAGTTTAAGAAACATAATCGAAATAACTAAGATATATATATTAATTGCATTAATTTTATTTTTAGAGTGTATCTATTCATTATAATTAGATAGAAATTATTTTTATTGGAGTGATGTGGCTAATTTGTAGATGGATCTACTCTTATACATTACAAAATAATCAATTTATCTAAATTGCATAACAAACTATAATTTACGATAGTTAAACACATATAATGCACAGCTTAGAAAACACAGAAGGAAAATTTTTTTAGTCAAAAAAACGTTTCTTTTGTAGATATCTTATTATCTCTTCAAATATATATTTAAAGGGACAATATTTTAAGATTTAATATTATTATAAGTATGTATATATATTAATGTATATTACGTAATGTTATTTGGAAGTACGTACATTTATTAAATATATATTTATTGTATATATATATATATATATATATATATATACATACAATTACATTGTTATAAGTAGCTATTTGTTATAACTAGCTAATTGTTATAACTAGCAATTTAATTGTTATAAGTAGATTCCGGCCTCATGTAAAAGAACTGTGTTTCAAGACCAACGAATATGCGGCACAGTTTGTGTGTGGCTGGATATTGTAAAAATTAATATACACCAACACCTGTGTCAGCTCCATAAATATTATTTCAATACATACAAATAAATTTCTTATTTTTTATAACCTTACATTGTCTATAAACCAATAAAATAAGAAAAAAATAACAATGCTTTAAGAAAAAATTGTAATTTTTATTAACAAAATTTTATTTTGTTTATGTAAGGAAAATTGTTTAAATTAATTATTTTATTTATCTTATAGCTTTAACAATAATTTAATTTAATGAACTACATGTATGCAATTTGATTGATTGAATAGTTTCTAAGTAATCTTTTCTGCCAATTTAAAAAAAGTAGTTTTAGAAAAAAAACGCGTTTAAAGTTTCGGTACGATCTTTGCAATAGTTATCCATATACTAATCATTTAAAAAAAAATTTACACCAAGTATATAAAAAAGTATCATACATCTTTCCTAAATTAAAAATGTTATTTTAACAAATAAAAGTTACTCAAAAACAAATATGAGATCATATAAGTTGTCAAGTATTTGATTAGACATGAAGACAAAAATATTTTATACCAAACCAGAAATATTTTTTTAATAAACCGTTTAAACCATCTAAAAATATATGCAACGAAAGTTAATGCCATAGTTTTCTCAAATAATTTTAAGTTTCATAAAACAGGCTTAAAGTAATTAAAATGATCACTAGTAACGCACCTGTACATTCTCGTAATCCAGTGAGAAACGATTATTAAGACGTTGAACTGATATCGAATTAATCTCAAAATCAATTTGGTGAATTATTTCTCGCTGGGAAGCTTCTTGACTCTTCTTCCTGTCCCTCCAACGCTTTTGTTGAACTCACCTCTTTTAAAATTCATTTGTTTAGAAACCATCAAATGATAATTTTGATAGTTAGCATTGGATTAGTGAATTAATGAAGGAAGGATTTTATAATGATTCTTAATTTACAAACAATGTCGTTTTCATGTATAAGGAAAATTTGAATTTTTAATCAGTAAAAGAAGTCACCGTTAATTACTAATACATAAAATGATCATACATTATACTAATTTACTAAGATTTTCTAAACAGACACCTATTTATTTCTCAAAAACTAAAAGTTGCATATTATTATTGTAATATTGATACGCATCTTGTGATAAAAACATGACCTGTTTAAATAATTAAAGAGATAAAAATCGATATTTATATATGTATGACTTGTTTCTATAAAAAATCAATTCAAAATTCTACAAATGCAAAAATAACACTTATTTTCTTTTGCAAATTGTGTAGTTTAAAATCTAAGCGATGTTTCACCTCTTAAAAGTGCTTAAGGAAGCAATATTTAAATAGTATTAGATATATTATTGTTAATTTTAGATTGTTCTATATGTTATTTGTAATTTCCTAAAACTGTTTTATTTATATTCTCTCTTTTATATATTTTTTCTTATTTTTATCGGTTTTAAGGATTATTTTGTTTATTTTTGTTTATATTACAAAAATGTTAAATATTGCAAAATTTCAAACAGTATTACAGTCAAACCTCGATAACTCGAATCTCAAGGGACCAGAAAAATTGTTCGAGTATAGAGTTTTTGACTTATTGGAATTCAAGTAAAAGAATGTTAACATATGAAAATTCGAGACTTTGTATGAGAGTTTATAATTTTCCGATTATAATGACTATTTGAGAAAAAAAATTAATATTTAACAGTGAGTATTTATTGTATACATGATATATGTATATATGATATGTGTTTACATATGATAAATGTAACCAACCATAAAACAAAATACCAGGTTATTACTCACGGTTCCACATAACTACAAATTCAAATTATAGAGGTAGCGACAATGGAAGTTCGACTTATAGAGGTGAACTTCGACTTGTAGAGATTTGGCTATTTCAAAAATGTCATTGATCTACTTGAATACATATAATTTTGTCGTAAAATTTGTGTATAAAACATTTTTTAATATCTCGAATAGTATTCAAGATATAACGAAAAAATGCGATAATTACTTTGAGCACCGCATAAATAATTTAATTTGTTTATTATTTTGCGTCATCATTTTTATCTGATTATTACAAGTAAAAATGCACTGTGCTATTTTAATAATTTAACAATTTAAATTTGGAATTTAAACAGTTTAAATCTCAATATATTTTCCTTCTCTCTCTCCTTCTCTTTTTTCTTTTTTATTTCATTCTCTTTGTATATCTCTTTTTCATTTTCTTTCTAATTCAATAGTTATATATCAATTTTTATAATCAAATTGCGTTACAAATAATTATAATTAAATAAAGTAATAATGCAGTGCAAATATAATGCAATATAAAATAATATATTATATCTATATGTTTTTGACGTAGGTATTATAAACAGATAAACATTTTTTGCGTACATTAATGTATCCTTAATCTTTTAATTTTAGACTGTAAAGCTATAATCATTTCCGCTTTAATAAAGTATATGCTTACGTTAAGTATAGCTAACGGATATGACCCGATAACACTTTTAAGTTATGCGTAGTAAAATCGATCGTAGTAGATATAAACGTTTATACGATCACCAACATATTTCTATTACAAAGCAAAAGTGACAACCATTCCAAGTGTTTCAATACCTACGTTTTAGCTAGAGTATCAAAGCATAGTGGTTTATCGTTCGTATTTTGTTTTAAGGACACAAAAGCAAGATGACCATTGATCCAACCAAGTCAATTCCTGCGTTTTACGCTGGACAAAGTATATTTGTAACAGGTGCGACAGGATTTCTGGGTAAAGTGTTTCTCGAAAAGGTATTGCGATCTTGTCCTGATGTTCGTGAAATCTTTATGTTGATGCGGCCGAAAAGAGGATTAACTATTAATGAAAGACTCGAAAAAATATTAAATTTGCCGGTAAGCTAGATATAAATAATTTTTTTGTAACAATGCATTTCTTTAACATTTTTTAGAATGTTATATAGATTTTGAATTTTTTTAAATGTTATTACATTTAAGTAAATGCATGCATTTCACTAAGTTATTTTTAATAATAATATCTGTAAATGATATATAAATTTTGTAAATAGTATATAATAAAATGTTCTATTTGCTTGTTAAAAATTTATTGAAAATTTGTCAAGAATTATTATTATATATTATATTAATGTTAAAACGCTTTTATAATTTATAACATTCTTCTATTATTCAGCTATTTGAAAAATTGCGCGAAGAGCGACCTTCGAATTTCGAGAAATTAATTCCGATTTCTGGCAGTGCCAGTGAGAAGGAATTAGGTTTGTCGGCTGCGGACAAGCAAATGCTGGTTGAAAGAGTGACTATAATAATACATATAGCGGGGGAAGTAAAATTTAATAGCAGTTTAAAACAAGCCATATTTATCAATACCAGAGCAACAAGAGACATTTGTATTTTAGCACAAAGAATGAAAAATTTAACGGTAATTCACAAACAGTAACTGATAAGGGGAAGGCCAGGTTAATGCATTACGGATCCCAATTTTTTGGTGAAACTAGAGGCAAAATAAAGATATAATGACCGAGCATGTGATTGAATGGGCCTTAGTTTTCGAGTAAAAATTTTCGAAAAATAAATTTTTAAATAATAATATTTAATATTTAATAATAAAAAGCAATATATTTCTTTCATTTAACATCGGTATAGCCCGGTGAGTAAAGGGTTTTCTTTCCGAGAGTCTATGTTCAATCCCTGAATGTTGCAATTTTTTTTAACACATGTTTTTATTCTTTTCATTTTTTGATTACTGATATTGTAATGTACGACTTTTTTTACATAAAAATTTATATTTTTTCCCAAGCATTATAACTATTTTGAAGAGGATTATCCATTTATTGATGAATAAATAGATTTGTTTCTTATATTAATACAGTCTCATTACTTTTCTGCCAGACCATGTATATATAATTAAGTTAATATTAAAAATTTATCTGCTTATTTTATTATTATAAAATTTTTCTTATACTGAAGATTTTTAAAAAATTCTTAAACAATTGTTCTTGTCTGTTAAAAGGCATTAGTGCATATTAGTACAGCATTCGCACACTTGAATGAACTATTCGTAGAAGAAAAAGTGTACCCACCAATAGCTGATTGGCGGAAGATGATTGAAATGACCGAATTATTGGATGAACATACTTTAAACATTTTTACGGCTAAGTAAGTTATAATCGAAAATCGAATATGCCACGCGTCTATAAATTATGTATAGATAAATATATTAGAATAATTTTTTCACTTTATTTACATTATGCATTTAATTCAAATTTTTAATTCTGTATGCACTTAAAATTATGTACAGGTGTTTAGGATATGTACCCAACACATACATTTTTGCAAAAAATCTAGCGGAAAGTATAATACAAGATTACTCTTCGTCCTTACCTTGTGCGATTGTAAGACCTTCTATCGGTATGTAGCCTTTGTTCTAGTTATTAGAAATAAATTTTAGTTTTTATATATTATTGTGGAATATCTTCGAATATTTGTATCTCCACTGTTTGATAAAATGAACTATGTAATTGTACTGACAGCGTATAATTTTTTTTTAATAATAATTAAAAGTTATATAATAAAAAGAAAAGACATATGTGTATATATTTTGTTTGAATAGTAAGACGATAATTTGCTTTGTTTTTAGAATTATTTATGGAATGTAGTAGTCAAATGGATCTTTGAATAATGGTAACTTAACAATTGCATCCCATATTTTAGTGTTGCCATCGGTAGAAGAACCTGTACCAGGATGGATAGATAACGTTTACGGTCCAATAGGACTTTTTGTTGGTGGTGGGAAAGGAATAATACGAGTAGCCTATTTAAATAAAGCTGTTAAACAAATTGCTGTAGCAGTTGATATTGTCATCAAAGCTGTAATAGTCGTATCTTGGAAGCTAGGATTAACCACGTATGATCATTAACGTATATACGCATGCATCTTTAATTACAAACATGAGAAACTTTTTATATCAGTATTTGCACTAATTTTTCAAAGATTTATAAAATACAATATTTATAATAAATATTTCACTCTGTAGGTTTTTTTTTTTTAATCTTTAGGTTCTTTTCTGTCGTATAATTGTTAGATTTTCTTTAGCTTATATTAAGATTGCACGTAAAAGATTAAAAACTTATTCTTGAACAAAATCTGTATTTTCTTCTAGTAAAATAAAACAATTCATAATTAATTTAATAACGATTTTCTTAAGCATTTATATTATTGATGCTAAATTTGCGGAAACATATTAAATAATTAATTATATTTTGTATGTTTATATAATTCAAAATTTCGCAAATATTTATCTTATTTCTGAAATATAACGCAGATAACTTTATGTATATGTATATTGCCTACCTATAATTACTTATTTTCTAATTTTATTAATTCATATATAATTTTGTTTGTTATTAGCTTAACAGAAGGTTCCCCAACTTTTGTATTAAATTGCATAAATTCTAAACATGTAACATATGAAAATGCTATAAAGACGTCATTCAGCACTACAAAAGAGGTGCCTTTGGAAGGAATTGTTTGGACTCTCCATACAATATTGACCGATAACTATATTCTGTTCTACTTATTAACGATATTATTGCATATTTTGCCAGCTATATTAATAGATTTGATTTTGAAACTTTCTGGACGTCGACCTATGTAAGTTTTAAATAAAATTAATTCAACAAATGTAAATTATTTTAACATATACTTATTTGACTGAATCGACAAGATTTATATGTTCCGCAAACTGAAATAATATAGGTATTTTCTTTCTAGTACAAGAAACACATTTTTTTAAAGCATAAATTTGTCTGAAACATCATTCCTGTATATTCTCTTTGTCTAATATTTAGCTTCATATTACATATTAAATTGAGACAATGTTTATACATATATAATTACGTGTTTATAAAAATGTTCTTTTCAAAATTTAGTTTATTGTACTTGCGGATTTTAACTCTACAGATTAATTAATATGATTAATATGGTGCGTCCTCATAACTATAAATATAGCATTATGTTAATGAGTAACGTGCAAATTAGGTTAGTACGATTGCAGAGAAGACTGTATGTGGCCAATTGTGCTTTAAGTTATTTTTCGTTCCATGAATGGAAATACAGCAATTCAAATTCATTGGCTTTGATATCCTCAATACCACCTGACAACCGTGATATTTTTTCTTTCGACTATTCCTATGATAATATTAGAGAGTATGCCAAGTAAGTGTATTATATTTTTAATTCTAAATAATAACTATTAAACTTTTTCAAGCTAATAAGTTTTAATCTTATGACATGAAGAAATTGTATCATTGGTGCAAAAAAATTTCTTCTTCGCGAAGATATGAATCGATTAGATGCAGCTAGGATACATCTGAAAAGGTATGAATAGTTCATAATTAGTATTTGTTATTGTTTATGCAAATATTTATATTTGTGTCACATTTAAAAAATTCACTGGACAACATATAACAGTAAGAACATTAAACATTAAACATTTCATGACACTCTCGAAAAGTAAGATATGAAACGTATCTAATATATGAAAAGATAGACATATTTAATTTACATTTATATTTTTGGCAAATTTACATTTTACAATCAGATAGATATGAAATATTATTCTCAGCAAAGTGTATAAGACATTTTTAACAATTATTTATAATAAAATAGTAATTATGTATTGCTGTCAATATGTATTTTATACATTATTCAGAATATGTTAAAAAAGAAGAAAAGGTTATCATACTTAACGCATTCATACATTTTAAATAACAAAATACACTTTATATTCATTTTCTTGTTAAAGTATAATTGAAATAATTAAATTGTAATATATTAATATGTAATAATATATTAATCGCAATTAATTATTTAAATAAATTTTATTTTAATTTATTTTTTTGATTTTTAATTTATTGTACTTTTTATTTTATAATCCTATTTTAAAAATAAATTAAGTTTGTTTTATTTTCAGAGTGTACCTGTTTGTCAAAGTATTGAAAACTATTATCTACATCGGAATACTGTGGATAATATACAATTGGATCTATTTTGATACATAAGGAAATTGTTAGTTCTTTGTCATGCTTGTCAAACTATAATTATGATCAAACACATATAATGCACAGAAAAAGCAATTTTTTAATTAATAGATATTTCTTTTTGTAGACTTATTCTATTTTTAATATAATCTCATAGATTTAAAGATCACATTTTCAGATGAATGTTATCTACTTTAACGCACGCTTAACATAAAAAAATTTAACTCCATTAAATCATATGAATTTTCAATTGTTCTACATTCAGTTCAACATTTCCTTGATTAAAAATTAAGTACTCTATATACACTCTTTAATCGTGTATCGCCAAAAATTGAAGGTACAAGGTTGAAATATAAATCCTATGTAATTACGAGGGACATAAGTACATATATCCTTTAAATATGTACCGCGAAAAATTGGAGGTACACAAAATCTTTAATCAATTGTCTTGTCATTTGATCAAAGACTTGCCAAACACTGGCGGTACATTTTTACCACTGAATACCTCCGTATTTATAAATACGAGGTACGTACATACGCAAAATTTTGTACCTTGTATTATATATACGAGGTATGAACTCGGAGCCTCCAAAAACAAGTATCGCGAATTCAAATGCAGTACCTCCAGAATGCAGAAGCAGCAGAAAAGCAGTATCTACCTCTAATTGTATCGTCAAACTTATTATTACTTCGTATATTCCGTATCTCGTGCTAATGTACCGCGCAAAATACCTCCTTTTAATGTGTAACTCGAAATGTCATTTTCATGTTCAAAAAATACCTGGAATTTGAAGGTTCTAGGCGATACATGATTAAGAGTGCATCCAAACATTAATGTCATCTTTCGATTATGTTTATGTATTGTAAGCACTAATTGTAAAGCGGAACGTATTTCACCATGAAGAGAATAAATTATCTATTTTCATGGCATTTTTGCGACTAGAAAGATTAAATGGACATTTTATTCTTTATATCAAATCTGATGTTAACATTTAAATTACGATATTATTGATCAGTTTTCTTTTCGTTAAAATTAAAAAAGAACATTTTGATATAATTTTTTTCCGTATCTTTTACTTATATTCTTTAATTTCTTTATTTTTATGTGTTTTTGTACTTGAACCGAAATAATAAACGCTTAAAACTTGATCTTGAAAAAAAAAATCAACTTTTGAATTAATCTAATATAAGTAACACCTTAAAGAAAATATATAGTATATATATATATATATATATATATATATATATACATATTGTATAAATTTGACCGTGTATTCTAAATTAAATTGAAAGAAGGCCGAGAAACGGTCAAAGCAGTATCTTGATGCTTACTGATATTTCTGTGTGAATTTTATATACATATTCTCGAACTAATTTCTTGAACTGCGCGCCGTTACTTTCGGTCATAACGTAACTCTTGTTTGAAACAGAATAGTAATATTGCGTTATTAAATTGATAATCAATTTAATAAATACTGATGCTTACTGCCATCTAATAAAATTCCTCTTACCCACGATGCGACATAAAGAATTATTTGTTCCAAAAAATATTACCTCCAGACTGACTATTACCGCATCCTGGCTGAGGTAATATTTTGAAGAAATGATCTGGTTTCTTAATATAACATTGATTTACTACTAATCAAGTTCTGCTCTACAGGTAAATGATATTGCATATTTGGAATTTTATTGTTCAAGCTTGATTTAATAAATCATGCTTGCTGGCAAGCTTCTTGACTTTTCCTTCTTCTCTCTACCCCTTTGTTGAACTTACTTTAAAGGGAACAAAAATATTTTTTTAATAAAACGTTTAAACCATCCAAAAGTATATGCAGCAAAAGTTTAATGCCATTGTCTTTCCAAATAATTTTAAGTTTCATAAAACAGACTTAAAGTGACTAAAATGACTAATGGGATCATAATGATGTAAATACTTGGCGTACTCGGATTGCATCAATTAATATGATGAATTTAAAATGCGGACATGCCAAGTTTTTGTTTCAATATGATCTCATTGGTCATTTTAATCACTTTACTGTTTTATAAATATTAAAATTATTTGGAAAGACAATGACATTAAACTTTTGCTGCATATACTTGGGCATTATATTTTTGGATGGTTTAAACGTTTTATTAAAAAAATATTTTTGTTCCTTTGCCTAATCAAATACTTGACAACTTGTATGATCTCATATTTGTTTTTGGATAACTTTTATTTGTTAAAATAATATTTTTAGTTTAGGAAAAATGTAATGTACAATAGTTTTTTATATACTTGGAGTAAACTTTTTTTTAAAGAGTTTTTGTTAATTAATTTTATGAGAAAATTTAATACAACGAGTTCTGCATGTTGATTCTTAGTGCCTTTCTTTGAATAGAATATAAATATAATAGTGTATAATACATAAATAAATGTCATTACATATGTACTTCTGCCTATTGTATACTTGCTCTTTCAACTTGACATTGCAGAATTATAATCATTTCCTGTTGAAAACGATTAGCTTACGGCTATAAAACGATTATAATTCAGCTTGTGCGTTAGTAGGATTAAACGTTTATTCGCATTCTATCTATATCGAAATAACAAAGGTGAATAAATCATCAAAAGTCAATAATCAAGTTTAATACCTTTAATACCTTTATCTTTAGTTAGTTGTTTATGTGTTAGCCTTGCTTTAAAAGTAATAAACAAGATGAAAACTGATCTAACCAAATCAATTCCTGCATTTTACGTTGGACAAAGTATATTTTTGACAGGTCCTACAGGATTTTTGGGTAAAGTATTTATTGAAAAGATATTGCGATCTTGTCCTGATGTTCGTGAAATATTTTTGTTGATGCGGCCGAAAAGAGGATTAACTATCAATGAAAGGCTTCATAAAATATTAAATTTGCCGGTAAGTTAGTTATAAATAAATTTTTGTAACAATGTATTTTTTTAAGATTTTAAAATTTTTTAAAATATTATTTAATTATTTGACAAAAAGAATTTTTTTGTAAATACTATTGCAATGTCGTCACTCATAACTAAAGAAAAAATATTTTTAGTAATAATATTTATGAATTGTATATAAATTTTGTAAGTAGTAGGGTATATTATTTAAAATATTTAAAATATTTAAAATATTTAAAATATTTTATTTATTTGTCGTAAATTTATTAACAATAAATCAGGAATTATTATTTTATAAATTAATATAGAAACATTTTTTAAAATTATAACGTTCTTCTATTTCTAAAGCTATTTGAAAAATTGCGTGAAGAGAGACCTTCGAATTTCGAGAAATTAATTCCGGTTTCTGGCAATGTTAGTGAAAAGGGATTAGGTTTATCTGCTGCGGATAGACAAATGCTGATTGAAAGAGTAACTATAATAATCCATGCAGCAGCGAGTGTGAGATTTAATAACAGTTTAAAATATGCCATATTTGCCAATGCCAGATCAACAAGAGATATTTGTATTTTAGCACAAAGTATGAAGAATTTAGTGGTAAGTCAGAAATAGTAACTGAGGTTGTGTGCATTTAAGTAACTCATTTTATCACATAATTATACGTTAATGTAACATTTTCTAACAATAACTCATATTCGACAAGATATTTTAATTACAAATTTTCTTCAAAAATACTAGCTAATCAAGCTTAATAATAGTTGAAATATGATGAATATAAATGAAATATTATAATGTTCTAAATTAATATAACATATTTATTTTATTATTATTATAAGAGCTTTCTTACACTGAAGAAAATTTTAAAAATTTATAATTTTAAAACATTGCTCTTGTTTGTTAAAGGCATTAGTGCATATTAGTACAGCATTCACACACTTGAGTGAACCATTAGTAGAAGAAAAAGTGTATCCACCAGTAACTGATTGGCGGAAGATGATCGAAATGGTTGAATTATTGGATGAATATACTTTAGACATTTTTACGGCTAAGTAAGTTATAAACGAAATATTATATTTATAAATTATGTATAGATAAACGCACAGAATATATAATTTTTTCATTTTATTTACATCGTGTTTTTAATAATTTTTTAATTTTTAATTCTGTATGCACTTGAAATTATGTTCAGATGTTTAGATTATGCACCCAATACATATATTTTTTCAAAAAACCTAGCGGAAAATATAATACAAGATTATTCTTCCTCCTTACCTTGCGCGATTGTAAGACCTTCTATTGGTATGTAGTCTTGTTTTAATTATTACAAATAAATATTAGTTTTAATGCATTATTGTGAGATAAATATTTGTCTTCTGCACTAATAAAATAAAATAACTGTACTGACAAGTGACGACATACAATTCTTTCTAAAAATAATAATAGCATTAAAAGTACGTAGTAAGAAGAAATGACAGATGTATACATATATCTTATGTTTGAACATATTTTAGAAGATAATTTGCTTTCATTTATGTATTTATGGAATGTAATAATTAAATGGATCTTTGAGTCATGTTATGTTACTTATACGCAATAAATAAATTAATGTTTGATGTTCATTATTAAGATTTTATGATTCTCTTACCTCATTTCGATTGAAAATATATATTAGTTGGTAATTATTTTTTAGTGATGCCATCGCTGGAAGAACCTGTCCCAGGATGGATAGATAACGTTTACGGTCCAATAGGACTTTTCATTGGTGGTGGAAAAGGAATAATACGAGTAGCTTGTGTAAATAAAAATGTTAATCAAAATGCAGTACCAGTTGATATTGTCATCAAAGCTATAATAATCGTATCTTGGAAGCTGGGATTAACCACGTATGATTATTAACATATACATGCATGCATCTTTAACTGTATTAAATTATGTATGTGAAAATGTATTTTCTGTATTTGGAATTTTAATCCATCTTTACAATATAATTGTAAGCTATTTGTTTATTTAATCTTGTTTTTGTTTATTCTATAATTTTGTTTATTCTATAGAATAAAATGCTTAGTCAAATACAAGAGTAGATGTAGATGCTAATATTATGCAATATTTAGAGTATTTGTTTAAAGATTTATTTAATATTTATAATAAAAATTTCAATGTCTATTTCTATATTTTCGTATAATTGTTAAATTTTCTTTAGCTTGAATTAAGGAGATTTGCACGTAAAAAATGGAAAACCTATTTTTGGAATAAATCTACATCTTTTTTTTCATGTAAAATAAAATTGACAATTTTTAAATAATTTAATAACGATTTTTTTATGTATTTATATTTTTAATACTTAATTTGTGAAAACTTGTTAAATAATTAATATACTCTAAATGGAAATTTGTCAAATAATTTATTAATTATTTAATCTCGTTAATAATATTTTGTGTGTTTTTATATAATTCGAAATTTAGCAAATATCTTATTTCTCAAATTTAATACATATTGAACAATTCTACAATTTTATGTAGATATTGACAACTTAATATTTACTTTTTAAATTTATTAATTATAATATATAATTTTGTTTGTTATTAGCTTAACAGAAGATTCCACTACTTTTGTACTAAATTGTGTAAATCAGAAAGTTTTGACATATCAAGATGGTATAAAGATGTTATTCAGTATTACAAAGAAGGAGGTGCCTTTGGAAGGAATTATCTGGACTCTCCATACAATATTGACCGATAATTTTATTTTGTTTTATATATTAACAATATTATTGCATATTATGCCAGCTATATTAATAGATTTGGTTTTGAAACTCTCTGGACGTCGACCTAAGTAAGTCTTAAATCAAATATTTAATTAACTAACTTAACTTATCAAATGTATATTACTTGCGCATATATTTGATTCAATCGCAAGTTGTAAATATTTTACAAATTAAAACAATGTATTTTCTTTTTAGAAAAATATATATTTTTTATCATTTTGTTTACATCTTTTTTTTTCTTTTTTTAAATCTATTATTATCTCTACTCTACATGTTTAATAGAGACATTGTTTGTATATAATACAATACGTATCTATAAAAATATATAGGATGTCCGATAGTTATTGACACAACGCTTGCAGAGACATATAGAACGACTAAACTTAGCAAAAAAGTCCTGCGCCATTTTGCGATCTTCACAATAGTTATCGAGATATTAATTTATAAAGATCACATTTTATAAAGATCCGAATGTGGTGAGATACGACTGCAATCCGCAGTGAGCGGTCGTATCTACATAGCATAGCGCGCGGCGTGGAGTAGAAGTATCTCGCAACGCGTTCACATTCAACGATCTTTATGAATTAATATCTCGATAACTATTGCGAAGATCGTAAAATGGTAAAAGATTTATCTGCTCAGTTTAGTCCTACCTCCTGCAAGCGTTGTGTCAATAATTATCGGACACTCTGTATGTGTTCTTGCCAAAATTTAGCTTATTGTACTTGCGAATTCTGAATCTACAGATTGAGTAATATGATTGAAGTCGTGTCTTTATAACTAAACCGTGTTAATCAGTAACATACAAAATAGGTTAGTACAATTGCAGAGAAGACTATATGTGGCCAATCGTGCTGTGAGTTATTTTTCGTTCCATGAATGGAAATACAGCAATGCAAATTCATTGGCTCTGATATCCTCAATACCACCTGACAACCTTGATATGTTTTCTATCAACTATTCCTATGTTGATCTTAGAGCGTATTGCAAGTAAGTATTATATTTTTAATTATAAATGACAATAATTACGATAAAAACAATTTGAAGCTGATAATTGTTTATCTTATGATATGAAGGAACAGTGCCATTGGTGGCAAAACGTTTCTTCTTCACGAAGACATGAATCGATTAGCTGCAGTTAGAGCACATAGTGAAAGGTATAAGTAGTTCATAATTTGTATTTATTATAATTTATATATATTAATTTATATTTGTGTGACGTTAAAAAAATTGACTATTAGACAATATGTAATAAGTAAAAATTGAACGTTTCATCACTTCTCGGAAAGTAACGAATAAAGCGAATCTATTGTACAAAAAGATATGTAAATATATAATTTATGACAATAATTTCATACAAGGTATATAGTAAGTAACGAGAGAGAAAAGAGCCATGTACGGCCGAGGTTGGATGTCGGTTGCTAAATAATATTCTTTATTTTCAAATCTTTTAGATTTCAGCTATTGTAAATAGCGTGCCGATTACTGTCAGTCGTTAAGAATGCAGTCATAACTCAAAGTTGAAATATTACATATTTATTAAATTGATCTTCGATTCGATGATAATGCTAACAAGCATTTTAAAACACTACTGTATAACGACATATTGCGAAAAATATTACCTCAGCCAGGATTCAAATGTGGATTCATACTTGATCCTATCCGAGACAGATGTCTTATCTATTCGACTATTAAGGTTATATGCTCACTGGTATATATTTATTGCAATAATCAATTTTTATAATGAATATAGACCCCCCCCCCCCCCCCCGGAGAATATCGAGAGATACCTGGTTTGAATCTCGGCTGAGGTAATATTTTTTGCAATTAATTCTTTACAATGTTTTAAGATACTTGTTAGCATCATTGTCGAATCGAAGATCAATTTAAAGCTATGTAATTACGTATTACTTCAGTTTTGAGTTATAACTACGTTCTTAAAGACCGACAGTAATTGGTGGTCGACGGTTTACAATAGCTAAACACTAACAATAAGATTTGAAAATTAAGAAATTATTAGGCAATCAACATTTAACCTCACTCGCATTTAACTCTTAATTTTCTCCCCTTATTATTTGTTATACAATTTATATTTATACATATTTTTGGCAATCTTAGATAGATATATTAAAAATTTCAAAACTTTTATTATTATAAGTTTAATATTATATTTATTGTTTCGGCAAAGTGTAAGATATTTTTAATAATTATTTATAGTAAAATATTTATCATAAATTATTGCTGTCGATATGTATTGTATGATATAAATTAATCGGAATATGTCACAAAAGAGAAGTTAAGATCTTACCATCGATACATTTTAAATAATAAAATACAATGTATATTCATTTTCCTGTTAAAGTATAATCGAAATAATGAAAAAATATATACATTTATTAATCGTATTTAAGCAAATTATTTAAACAAATTTATTTTATTTTTTATTTTTATAATCCTATTTTAAAAATAAATTAAGTTTATTTTATTTTTAGAGTGTACCTGTTTGTCAAAGTATTGAAAACTATCATATCTATTGGAGTACTGTGGATAATATATAAATGGATCTATTTTAATATATTATAAAATTGCTGATTCTTCTCCATGTTTATCAAACTATAATTTATGATGGTCAAACACATGTAACACACAGACAGTTTTTTAATTAAAAGATCTTTCTCTTTATAGACTTAATGTATTTTCAAACGGAGATACTTTAGTTTCTGTTAGATGTTAAATATTACGTATATTTATGTATATACTAAAGATATCAAATAAAATGCAATTTGCATAGAAAATTGTACATATTTATAATATCTAATACAGTAATCGGCATTGTTTGCAACTTTCGACGAAATTTCCATGTCGACGTCCATAGTCTTACTTTTTGCCGATTACGTAATAACAATGGCTGTCCGATAGCATGTAACTAAGGTCCGCGACGCTTGATCTCACTACAATTAGTGGCGGCGATATCATATGATAGAATTGTAACTCTTTCTTTTTATTATTCGACACGTGTTGTTACGAAAATCTAGCCGAAAGTTGCAAACTTTGGAGTTAGCGTGGCTGTTAACGTTTAAGCCAATAATATAATATTAATTTTAGAATTAAATTAATGTTTCATAGACATGTACATATATTTACAGCTTACTAATAGTTAATTTTTTTTTAAACTGCATTTTTTATAGCTAAATATCCGTATTCAATTATCCATAAAGATGGTATAATTATAAAAGAAATTATAATATTGCGTGTATATATATGTATATGTATATTATATTGCAGCATTATAAGTATTTATATAAAAAAAATTATGATTTTAATAACGTATTATTCATATATTTATGTTAATAATGAATTTATCTCAATAGTCGATACATCAAAACACTTCAATTACCTCCAGGCCCCTCGGGTCGCTTTAATTTTCGCACGAAAATTTGTCCAGGATTGATCGACGTTCTTTAATAATATCTCATTGGTGCTAACGGCGACAATGGCTATACGCTCGAGCGGTGCGTGATGCTAAATTCTCGCTATATAAGTCTCGTTTCTTCTTTTTTTATCAGAACGAAATTTCTTAATTAAAAAAAATGAATTTTTGTGTGTGTATGTATATATATATGTACGTACGCGTGCATGTATGCTGCATACATATATGCATGAACAGCAAGCGGTGTATGTATGATACAAAATCGCGCCTTGAGATATAACATTAGTATCAACAATGAAAATGTATCCTGTACCAAAACAGCCAGTATTGATTAATTTTGTAGTACTGACTTAGAACACATATTTGTTCTAAGGGTATCATAACCAGGGCAACCAAAAATACGCTTAGAGCATTTTTTTTGTTTGACTAATAAAAAAATAAACTAGATATAAATTTGTTTCATAAAAAATTATGTTTTAAGCCCTATTTGTTATAGCATATTTTTGCATATTTCACACATAAGAACATATTTTTGCATATTTTACTTATTTTTATTGTACATTTCACATTGTTTTCTGATTTAAGTTTACGATTAGTTTTTTCTGACATAATAATAAACAGGCCTAAAATAAATTTTTTTTAATCAAAAATATGCTGCAGCATATTTTATATTTTTGAAAAAAGAATTTATTAGAACCGTGTTCCAATATATACTGCCAATCTGTAATTTACGTTACGTATACTACAAATTTTCAGTATTGGCAGTGTATATTGGAACACGGCCTAAATAAATAATGCTGCGGTGTATTGCGCAGTGATGCTAGGAATGACGAAATCATTAAGGCTCCTAAAAGTCGAGTTAAAAAAGTATACACACAGGGCTGCGTTCGGATTCCCCGCTGGGTGCATCCAGGTATTATTCTATCCTTGTTTAACATTCGGTGAACAACAAGGATAAAATGATATCTGGATGCACTCAATATTATTACGAAAAATAGTGGTTTTGCTATTTTAAAAGCAATTTCAGCACGCTTGACTGGAGTATCTTCTGATTCTATCTTAAAATTGCCGTGTTACCTGCGTTGAAGCCTCTTTTCCCCAATGTTTAAAAATTCATATCTTCCAGAAAAATAAAGATATAAGATCGGAAGAG